TCAGTGATAGCCTTGAACGTTGTATTCACATTCTCATGAACTTTATTCGTTTGTACTGTGGTTCCGTCAATAACAACCTGAACACTGTCAATGAACTGCCACGCACTGGCCTTAGGAATCAATTGATCCACAGTACAGGCAGCAGTCGAAGTGACCGAACCAGCACCACCATTAAATATTTGAGGCTTTACTGGAAGCTCGATGACGGCTTCTTCCCAATTACTTCAATACGTATGTGAAACATGGTCCAACGAGCAACTTTGTCTTGGATGAGTATTCCACTCCAACGATCCAAGGGTCTAGCGGAGCAGTACAGTCACTCGAAAACTCGGCCACTTCGTCGTTTATGGCAGCTACTAATAGCGTGGGTGAGTTTGGTTTAGCTACCACCTACTCAAACCGTGGAGCCGCCGAACGATCGCTTTTTACCGCTCTTGATCAACAAAGTACGAAGCTTGCATTCGATGTTATGGGAGGCAGCGCAAATCTTCAGGCTGTATCGAAACCTCAAGTGTATGTGGCTCTTGCTGGCGCCGTTGCTGCTGGTTCGCCATTTTACGTCGCGCGTTATCTGGCTTGTATTAAATTGCGGGATATCTCTGACACTTCAAGAAATGTCCTATGCAGAAAAACACGCGCGGCTTCATTTACCTCAATTACAACAGTTCATCGAGAACTCTAGTTACAACTGGTACTGCAGGTGTTGTTGCGCCTGCTACCAGTGCAATAATATGAATTTTGGCAACACCTGCCCAGTGCTGTGGAATTTAAGTAGTAGTGCAACGACAACTGCTCTGGCCGGTGGTCTCGCGCTTCCTGCATCAGCTGTAACTCTTACGATTACCGCCGATGTTAATGGTACTACCACTGCCGGAACTGGTATCACTCCTTCGCAATCGTTCTCGCGTCTTCTCGTTCCGACCGCCTCGCCCAACCCAAGCGCCGACCACAAATTACGAATAAATTCACAGTTGCGCCGGGTGCTTCCTTCACTTGGACAGTCAGTAATGGCATTGCTTATCCAAAGCGCTTAATTATGCAACCTGTTATTGCCAATCCAACCGCAGGTGCTACTGTATCGGACTTAATCAATCCTTTCCGTAGCCCATTTTCGACTGTACCTGCTACGACAAGTCTAATTGCTGCATTGAAAAAATTTACAAGTTACCGTGGAAACGTCCCTATTTGGAACAATCCTGTTGGTTTTGGATATGATCTGTTTGTACAAGAGATGTCGGGTGTTGATGGTGGTCTTGATGATGTAACGTCGGCTGGTTTGCTATCTCAGCGTCAATGGGAATCGCTTTACCGATTTGTTGCTGTTGATATTGGTCGCCGCCTTCCAAGTGAAGATGGTGCCAGTAATAGTATCATTGTGTCTGGTACATCCAACTGTAACTACGCCCTTACGATTTATTATAATGTATTGCGTGAAGTCGTTGCAACCGTTGATACGGCTATGGGCACAGTCTCCCAATGCCCTGTTCAGAACTAAGAATCGAATGTAATTCTTATTAGCCAATTTTTTTAATCATCTTCAATATACGTCACCTAAACGAAACTAATCATGAGTGGCTTTTTCTCCGATAATCAGACAAAGCAAGAAGCATACGATCGCTATTATAATGCAATGGCGAAAAGCGACTTCGTTCAAGGCAAGAACTGATTCAACGCAAATTTATTTCAGCAAGTAATGGGGAAGAGTCGCGAGTATGAGTATGATCAAATGC